TCCTTTGCCTTCTTTTTGCTTGAGGAAGCGGTGGACACAGGAGGTTTTGACAGCTTTGTGGCAAGCGTCGCCTTCTTTGCCGTCTTCTTCCCAGCCGACTTCTCCTCTGATTTTTGAGTAGGAGTTTTTGCGGAAGACGTAGATGGCTGTGGCGATGATGGTCGCTCATCAGGATCACGTTTTATCACCGACTTTTTCTTTTCCGACTTTACGACTTTCTTTTTCTCGGGTTCCTTCTTCTCCTTATCTGACTTAGATTCGACTACTTTGCTAGTAGATGCTACTGCAGCAGGCGTGGCCGTTGATGTTGAGGGAACAGGCGTTGTCGTAGAAGCAGTGGCTGCTGCCACCGCCGCCGTAGCAGCTGCAGCCGCCGCCGCCGCCGTCGCCGAACTGATACTCTCCGTCAGCAGTCGATTGATGGCCGAAGCATTGAGACTCGCCTGTCGGGGCTTCTTTGCTGCCCTCTTCGGCAAAACTGGCTTCTTCTTTGGCTTCTTCGCCCCTTTAAGCTTCTTTTTGTTACCGCCTGTTTTTGGACGTCCTCGGGCTGTCTCTTTTGAAGTCCGCAATGAGTCGGAGTCTTTCTTTTGAGAAGCAGAACTTTGCTTTTTTGAATTGCTCGAGCTCTTTGAATCAGATGTAGAAGTCACCTTTGCCTTTTCTCCAGCTGGACTCTTTTTGCTGGACGAAGCTTTGAGAAGCTTAGTTTTTGACGGTGGCAGCTTCTTTCCCTTTTTCACCGTTGCCACCTTCTTTTTGGGCGTCATTTTCTTATCAGCACTCTCATTACTGCTCGTCGTGCTTCGACTGTTAACCGAAGACGGAGCTGAGAAAGATTCACTAGAAAATGATTCTACAGAAGACTCTGAAGGAGAGGGCGATGGTGACGGTGAGTGAGTCTCCGCCTTTACCGGTTTCACAGCCTTTTTCTGCAGCACTTTTGGTGATGGCTTTGCTTTCTTTGCTGCAGGCGCTTTCAGTACCTTTTTCGATGAAGAAGCTTTACTCTTTACAACCTTTTTTGAAGGTACAGATTTTGAAGGGGACGTGGCCATGATACCTTTTGAAGTGCTCGGCGTCGATGGTCCAGAAACGGCACTAGCTGAAGGCTGTACCTTTAAAGGTCCTTCTTTCTTTACGACAGCCTTCTTTGACTCTGATTTCTTTGTCTCCTTTTTGCTGGTGGTAGCTGGCAAAGTGGGCAGCAAGCTTGAGGCATCCGAGTCGAGTGGTCGAAGACGAGGTCGGCCTCGCTTTGGAGTGGCAGCTGGTAGTGCCGCTGGTTCATCCTCCGAAGTCTTTTCTGTCTTTACTTCGGCTGCTGGTAACTTTTCAGAAGGAGACTTTGGCTTTCTGCCTCGCTTTTGTCCACCCTTGAAAGTGGGCGTCTTTTTGCTCTTAACTATCTTTGCTGGAGTTTTACTGGACACTGCGGCGTCATTTCCACTTGCACTGCTCTTTTTTGCTGGTGACGCACTCTTTTTCTTTAAAGGGGACTTTTTCACAGGTGTGACTGCGCTTTTGGCGGCACTTTTCACCGGTTGCAAAGGTACTGCAGCAGCTGGACTGATACTTTGAGGTGATCTGCTGACTGGTTTTGCCGGCGTGGACTTTTTACCGCTGCCCTTTGACTGGCTACTTTCAGCGGCTTTGATCGCTGGTGCTGCAGCCTTCTTTGCTTTGGTCACCTTTGAGGGAAGCTTCGCCTTTGAGGGAGACAGCTTTGACTTACTTTTGCCACTTTCCGCATTCGTAGAAGCGGGAGCTTTTCGCTTTTTATTCATGCTGGTCTTCCTCGTGCAAGACACTCATTAGCAAGAGAGAGAGGAAGCGATGGGAAAGAGTGTGTTTGTGTTGTCGGTGCCGTCTCCTTGTTATATCTGTAAACAAGAATCAGTGCATTAATCAAAACTGACACTTGAGTGTGTGCTTGAGCAATTCCACTTACCATTGCACTAACCCAGAATGAGTTGCCGTTTCTGTGGTTGTTTCTGCTTTCGTTGCGGTGGAAGATGCGATAAGAAGAAAACAAACAATAAACACGGTAATTAAATACGAGGAGGTGATGCTGACTCGTGATGCGCTGCTACAGCTGACGGCGACGACGACGACGCACTACAAACGTCAAAGCGGTAATCTTCAATTATCTGGCAGGTGTACGAGTGCAGCAGGAAGAAGAGACAAAGAGGGAGGTAAGTGAATCCGCTTAGGGAGAATAAAAAGAAAACCCGGTGAGAGAGACGGAGAATGCGAATGAGAGGCAACGATGGTGACCATCGAGTGCTGCGAATACTGCTGCTGCTGCTGTTGGCGCTGGTGCTGGTACTGCTGGTGCAACTGCTGTTCCATCTGGACTTCGTTTTCCTTCTCTCAGCCTCTCTCTCACTTTCGCCTTTTCTCTGCTGCTTGAAGCATCAGTTGAGGAGCACGATACCGATACACACACACATACACACACAGACTGCTTCTTCTCACTCTTTCTCTCTGCTGGCTCTTCTTCTCTTCCCTTTACGTCACCCACACACGTTTTGTTGAGCACAGTGCTCCACACTGGGGACAGCAGACGTCTGGTGAGTAGTAGAAGAGTGCTGCTGCTGTTGGTGCTTTTGGTGGTGGTGGTGATTGTGGTGGTTCGGGTGACGGCGGTGGAAGCTGATGCCCATCCGAAAGTTTCCGTGAGTAAAGGAGAGAAAGAGAGTGTGTATTATATAGGAGTCTCACTGGAAAAGGTATATAGAGGACGTGAAGTGGATGCTGAAGCGGCTCACTCCACTGGAACAGTGGAAGCACTAGAAGTAGGTGAGGCGTCACACTAAAGACTATGAGAGAGTAAGAGAGACTCCGACGGAGGCCCCGTGCTCGCTTGAGCTGGCCCGCGGTCGGCGCCAGCGGGAGCGAGCGAGCGAGCGCGTGAGAGAGAGAAAGAAGAGGCGTAGGAGTTTATTCGGTGTTGGTTCCTCTCACCGGGCCGAAGGGCATCGCAGAAGGCT